GTACATTTGAGGTTAAACAAATGTTCATAATTGATATAAATAAATTACAAGTTAAAAGGGGCATGGACATTTCTCTTTTTCGTTTCGAAAAAATATCGAACCGAACCGTGAATTTCCTGTATCGTTGCAGCCGTAAAATGCATMACTCATGTTTTAAATAAACATGCTGATATAATCAGCTTTAGTTGTATTTGTTTCTTATAATTGAATCATTGCTGTGATTGTTGCACAAAGCTCCATCTGTGGACAGAAATCTAATTAATTTGGTTCCTAATGGGTTAAAAGAGAAATATACAGTATATACTGTGAGATTTGTTTTTTTTATTATGTGCAATAACCTGGATATTCATTAAGAACAGGTGTGTATTTGTGAACACCTCATCAGATACAGAAAAGYTGATGTAATGTAGATTTGTCTCTGGCTGTGGAGGATGCAGGAGCACACAGACAGGTCTGAAGGGGGCAGGTTACCTGTGGGTGGAGGSAGGGGAGGCCTCTCTCACCAGATTCAGACAACAACCCTCAGCTGAGTGCAGCCAACGATTCGAACGAAGACAGGGAGTGAAGGTGATGAAAAATTTAAACAGGTTGTAACGTGTGACCTGTCAGGTGAGATCCATCTTCTGCTGGACTTCCTGTCAGGTGAGGAAGTGATGAACAGAAACTGTTTTATCCTGTTAGTTTCAACAAAAATAAACATAAAACCCTCTGTTGTTGTTCACGATCACATCATGATTTGGTGAAACCGTCCATCAGCACYTTCCTCAAGGTGACTGCAGAACCTTTACTGGGTTGGGATGAAACAGCAGAGATAAGGATCAGTGGTGTTCCAGGAGGACGCGAGTGAAACGCTCCACGGTTTGACCTTACACAGTCTGAGGCCTGAAGACGTTCTAAGAATAAAATCAGCACATGGTACGCTCCTTTTCTTTGTTCCTCTTTGTGTTTCTAAACAGACCAAGTCTGCTCCTGTTCAGAGCCCAGTCTGACCAAGATTTATCCACATGTTCAAAACACGGGACTTCAAGAATCCAGGACCCGAGACCCATAAATACTGACACAACTGTCCAAAAGGATCGGTCCAGTTTGGATGTACTTTGGTCTACAAGCAGGCCAGCAAAATGACTCGCTTTGCAAGGAAATGGATCATTATAACCAGAGTTGTAAGTACATTTTGATTTGATTTGATTTATTAATTTAACAGGAAAAGATTATTTAAAATCAAGCCTGACTCAGCATAATTGCTGTTTTACAGCAGGTTCCTGTTCTGCAGCACATAAAACACTCAGAATTACAGCATCACAATCACATCATTATA